TGAAGGAGAGGAAGACCTTCAATGAGATAAATTGATAAAATGTCTGTGGCAAATGGGCTCAAGTGTGTTGGGGGTGATAAAGATGGTGCAGGATAGGACACAGTTCAGATCTTTTGTTCAGAGTTGCTATCTAAGAGTCTCTACTCGATGGTACCTAACAACGACAATGGAGAATATAAGGAGGTTCTGGTGGCCTAGAGGGTTAAGAGTTGTGCTCTCAACCAAAAGGCAAGAGGTTCAAACCCACCAGTTGTTCCATGGGATAAATTAGGCAATCTCCCCTTGTGCGATTTATATCTTCTGAAAATCCACTGGAGGGTCAGTCATGAGACAGCTCCAGCTCAACAGCAATGAGTTGAGTTGAGAGAATATAAAGAGTACCCCCACCTCCATGGTGAAGACAGTTCATATTCTCAGCTGCTAACTGAAAGGTTGAGGGTTGAAGTCCACTCACAGGCACCACAGAAGAAAGCCCTGGCAACTAACTCACTTCCAAAAAAGTCAGTCCCTAAAACTCTGTGGACAAAAATCCTGCTCTGACCCCTGTGCGCTGCTGTGAACAAGAGTCAGCTCAATAGCAACTGGGTAGAGGGTGTATGGACTGTAGTGCTTGACACCCCTCTTCCAGAGCTGGAAAGTCCAGGTGATGTGCAGCTTCAGGCATGACTGGATCAAATTATGTCATTGAGAATCTGCCTCTCCCTCTCTAGGGCCTGTTTTCCTTTGCGTTGGCTTTTTTTTTGTCTGAAGACTTCTTCCTTTGTGATGTCAAGATGACCTACATTGCTCCAGCCCTACACACATCCCACCAGTTTAGAACTCCTACATTTTTGTGCACATGCATCAGGTTTGGAGGAAAAAACTCATCAACAACCTGCATTATGCAGGTGACAAAACCCTGCTTGCTGAAACTGAGGAGGACCTGAAGCGCTTGCTGCAGAAAGTCAAGGACTGCAGCCTTCAATATGGACTGAAGCTCAACATCATGAAAACAAAGATTCTCACCACTGGGCCAAGTGGCAGCATCATGATAAATGGTGAAGAGACTGAGATTGTTAACAGCTTTAGTTTGTTTGGCTCCACAGTCAACACTTTTGGTTCCAGCAGCCAGGAAATCAAGAGACAAATTGCACTGGGAAAGTCCACTGTCAGGAACCTCTCTCGAGTACTGAAGAGCAACAACAATGTTGTTCTGGAGACTGAGGTGCACCTGATGCAGGCCATAGTCTTTGCAATATTTGCTATGCATCAGAAATCTGGACAATGACTAGGGATGATAGAAAAAGAATTGATGCCTTTGAGCTGTGGTACTGGAGAAGAGTATTGAATATACCATCGACAGCCAGGAGAACAAACAAGTTCATCCTAGAGAGGATGAAATCAGGCTGCTCCTTAGAGGCAAGGATTCTGAGGCTTCGTCTGACATACTTTGGGCATGTTGCAAGAAGGGACCAGTCCTTAGAGAAGGAAATCATGGTTGGAAGGGTAGAGGGACAGTGTAAGAGAGGAGGATCCTCAATGAGATTAATTGATTCAGTGACTGGGATATGAGGGTAGGTGTGTCAGAGATAATAAGGTTGGCACAGGATAGAGCAGGTTTCAGGGTTATTGTACATAGGGTCACTAAGCAACTCAATGGCACATAGCGACAACACTTTTTTTGAGCAAAAGTTGGAAAGCTTTTCATAGATAGGGCACCCGTCTCTCACCAAGCCCTATAGCCAAAATGATCTGATGTTTTCACTGGCCAGGCCTGAGCCACATGACTCAGTGGATTAAACATTGGTCTACTAACCAAAAGATCAGCAGTTTAAATTCATCAGTTGTCCTGGGGGAGAAAGATGAGGCATTTTGCCTCTACAAAGATTTTATAGCCTTGAAAACCTTAAAGGAAAGTTCTTCTGTGTTCTGTCAGGTCACAGAGTCAGAATTGACTGGATGGCAGTAGTGTTTTTTTCAAATTTATTCACTTGACCACTCCTGGAATTCAGCCCCTTAAAAAGCATGAGTTTTCACTGGCCCAATTTGAGTCACATGACTACCTCTGACCCAATCCTTGTGGCCACTGTGATTTTAGTGTTCTGATTGGCTGTCACTTGGCCATTTTTGGAACTCCGGGTTTTATCTGACCCTCAGGAATCTCAGGATTTGAGAGTGGGATTTGAGGGTGTTTCCAAAAAGAACTGGAGGTTGTTGGTCAGTATAGAAGAATGTAATAAACATTCTTATTAGTTGGGTTGCAGTCATTTACCATAATCTGTTACCACTTAATTCCATTATTGTTATTTTGTTTTCCTCTCAACTAACTTTTCCTCCATCTGTTTGGAATCACACAATAAACACATAAGTATATTATCTTGGTAAAAGATCTAACTAACCTCAGACATTTTCAGTAAAATTAATATTCGACCAGTCTCCCATTCCTATACCCCAAAGGGGCCTTCAGATGCCTTTTGGTTCACATCCTTCCCAACTCTTTTCTATATATTTACAATTATATCTATATGAATATTTTAATGCTTTGTTTTATTAGTTTATAATATATTTCAAAAATTTTTAATAATTACATTTTCAAGGCTCAGATCTCAGAAAATTTACTTCAAAAAATCCTAAGTGAAAATCTGTTTCATCTCAATGCTCTCCATTCACTCAGTTCTCACACACTCCAGTAGTTACTTCCTGTTACTAATTTTTTGTTTAGTCTAAGGGATGTTTATATGCATACCCTCTAAGACACCTCACTTACTGTCCATTTCATTACTGATATTTTACATTTGCCACAGTAGTAAAAAGTCTCCTATCCAGAAACTGTGGACATTAATGACTAGAAGTAACTGATCCTGGGTGCAAGGGAAAAGCCACGCTGACTTTGATGGTGAGGCTGTGTGTCCACCTCGCTGGGCCGTGAGTCTCAGTGGTTTAACCATTATGTAATTATGAAGTCACCTCCATTTTGTGATCTAATGTAGTCATCTTCCATTTCTGCACAATTATTTTTTACTTTGTCCTTGAATCCTAACCATATCAGTAAGAAGGAGCAGGTATCCAAATATGTGGATTCTAAATTGATTTTTTCTCTTAACCATAAATCTTGGCCAGTAGTCCATATTGGTATAAATTTGTGTAACACTGTGATTGATACAGTGATGGTAACAATGGCCTTGAGCATATCTGAGATTATGACGATGGGGCAAGATAGGCAATGTTCAGACCTGCTGTGCATAAAGTCACTACCAAGTCCACTCAAAGGCACCTAACAATAACATTTCCCTCTTAGGGAGCTCTGGTGGTATAGTCCTTTAGGGAGTTGGCTGCTAAGCCAAAGACAACTCTCAGGCAGTTTGAATCCATCATATCTGCAGAAGAAAGATGGGCAGTCTCCTCCTGTGAAATTTGGAGACTCAGTGTGTTCAGTTAGGAGTTGGTTTTGACTCAGTGTCAATGAGGTTTTAGTTTGTTTCACTCCTGGTTAGTAGTGATGCTATCTCTCCTATTATGAAGTCCACTGTGATGAACATCCTTAAATGGGTATATAGGTGCATATGTGCCAGTATTTAGGATACATTGCTTTAAGTGGAAGTTAAGCTCTGGATTTTAAAAAAAAGACACATATTTCACTTTGACCCAGCCTGCCAAATTGCCTTCCAGAAAGGATCTCCCAGCTTTTACAGCCAACAACAGTGGCTTAGTGTGTCTGACTCCCTGCATCTTTGCAAACACTAGATATTATCAATCTTTTCAATGTTTACCAGTCTGATGAAGAAAAAGCTATCTTGTGTTAATTTGCATTTTCTCCCTGATTAGTAATCAGAGCATTTTTTCATGTGGTTATTTTTGCTTCTGTGTGTTGCCTGTTCACATCTGATGCCCATCTCTCTATGGGAAAATCTTTTTTTTTCTCCTTCCTTAATGGCATTCACTCATGCATTTAACAAATCATAATTTAATTATGAGCAGATACTGTTCTAGGTAGTTAGGGATTCAAATTGTAATTTAATTGTATGCAGACACTGTTTTAAACCATTGAGAATACAATAGTGAATATGACACAGACCCTGACTTCAAGGAACTTAAGATGTGGGTGGGGAAGAAGCCAACAAAATGCATACAAATAAAAACAAGTTTGTCTGATGGTGGCAAATGCTGTGGGAAAAAAAGATGCAGAATAAATGAGCAATTATTTGACTGTTAAAGAAAGGAATTCTTTGTTTTGATATGCATCACATACATTTTCTGTTTGCCATCCACTCCATTATGAAATGTTGGTGGATATTTTATATATTTTTTTCTGAGATAAAATTTTTTCCATTTATGGTTTTTACGTTTACATGCTTAGATTGAAAAACTATCATCCAAGATTTTTTTTTCAAGAGCTTTATGGATTATTTATTACATTGAAGTTGTTAATCCATCTGGAATTGTTTTCCATGTAAAGAGATATAAAGCTACAGTTGATTCTTATGAGCCAACCATTCACTCAGTAATCCATCTTGTCCGTGGGATTTTGAAATGGCATCTATAATAATTTCCGTGCATATTTAGGGTCACTTTTTCATGTTTCTTCTATCGTGGTAGCACATCAACCATTTCTGCCACTGCAGCTTTGTATGCTATTTGGATATCTGGATAGGCTGGTCCTTTGGACAAATTGCTTAACCTCTCTGAGCCTCGGTTTCCTCATCTGTAAAACAGAGACGATAACGACAACGTTGGAGAGTCCTTCTTAGAATTAATAAATGAATGGACTATTTTAGGTCAGGGCTTAGGTAAACGTCAGCTGAAAAAGTAACAACGGAGTTGAAATCTGATTTACAAGGGCAGAAGGAACATCAAGGGCAAAGGCTCTGGGGCAGGCAGTAGCTAGTGTGCTGCAGGGTCACTGAAGGAAGAAGATGGTGCTTCAGAGGGGATGGAGCAAGGCTGTCCCGTAGGATAGAAGAGAGCCACAGGCGGGTAGGTGGGACGGTAGGACCCGCTTGACTCTGCCTCTGTCCTCACAGTCCATGGAGTCGCAAATGGAGGAGTGGTACCGCGAGGTGGGAGAGCTACAGGCGCAGACTGCAGCGCTGCCGCTCGAGCCTGCGAGCAAGGAGCTGGTGGGCGAGCGGCAGACGGCGGTCGGCGAGCGCCTGGTGCGCCTGCTCGAACCGCTACAGGAGCGCCGCCGCCTGCTGCTCGCCTCCAAGGAGCTGCACCAGGTGGCGCACGACCTGGACGACGAACTGGTAAGGCCCCTGGGGCCGGGGCGGGGCCGCTGTGGGGGCGGGGCTGGTGGGGGCGTGTCTTGTGGCACAGGAGGGGGTGCGTGGGAGGGGCCAGACCAAGAACAAGGACCAGGCAGCAGCAACAATGTAGTTGACAGATCCCTTCCCATTGAATGACTGATTCACCTTTTTATTCATTCACTGTCATGCTCTCAATTATTTCCACTTGTTAATAAGTCTGTGACGTCAGTCATTGATCATTCACCCTTTATACCTTCCTTCACTTACTTTTTCATTCACTTATTCATCCATTCATTACAATCACTTCTATCTAATATGTTCACTCATTTATTTACAATCACTCACTTTCTCACTGGCTGGATTGTCCCGAGCCCATTGCGTTCTTGCCTTCTCCCTGAAAATGGTTCGGAGTCTAGTGGGAAAAAGACTCGACTCCTGGCGGAACCAACTGGGCTGGTTAGGCATGGTGAGGGAGCAGCTGCGGAAAGCCAAACAGGCAACTCGCCCAAGCTGCAAGTCAGTCAGGGAGGGCTCTGGGAGATGTCATCTGACTGAAGGAAAAGTACAGAGCCCCCTGAGCTGAGAGGCAGGTGTGATCCTGGGCTCAGTGCAAATGTAAGAAAGCAGTTACACAGAAGAAGCTGAAGGCCAAGCAGGCTTCACATGTAGTTAGGAGGCTGGAGGTCATGTTCCCTCTGACACTCCTCCCCATTCTCTCAAGGCCTGGGTCCAGGAGCGGCTACCACTGGCCATGCAGACAGAGCGAGGCAATGGCTTGCAGGCTGTCCAACAGCACATGAAGAAGAACCAGGTGAGCATGACTAGCAAGGGGGCATGGGGCGGGCACACATTAGGATACAAGTGAGAAAACACAGCTTTAATTGCTCAAAAAGGGATTGTTATTTAGAAATAAAACAACAAATAAAAACCGAACAAAATTGTCCATGGACAGTAGTACGTAGAGCTACATCTGGGTAGACTCATGCCATTTTTTGCTAGTTCTGTCCTCAGCCCGACTCACTCACCAAGAATTTCTATTGCTCTGATTGGCCTGGCCCAAAATCTATTAAGGGAGTCAGCCTTAATTTAACAACTGTGCCTGAGATGTGGGCCTAGGGCTTCTCCAAAAGAAAAGAATTCTGTGACTAGAAATAAGGGAAGTAGGTAAGGGGCAAGAAAACAAAACAAAACAAACCACAAAAACCCCAAACTAACAAAACCTCAAAATTCCCATAAGAGAGGATACAGACAATCATGGAGGGATCCAAAGTCTAGAGGTGACACTCTGGCCCCAATAAAGCCAACTGCATCCCTGAAATCTCTGTGAGTCTGCTCACTCCTCAGGGCCTCTGAACAAGGACAAGCTTACATTAAAGATGTTGCAGGTTCAATTATGGACCACTGCCATACAGCAGATATCATGGTAAAATGAGCCACACATTCATTTAGGTCTCCAGCACATATAGTTATGTTTACATTGTGACATTGATTAAGTGTGATGAAGCCCTCATGGCATGGTTTGTAATGTGTCTGGCTGCTAACCAAAAAGTCAGTGGTTCAAATACACCAGTGGCTCTTAGGGAGCAAGAGGGTCAGTCTCTTCAGGTAAAAAGTTCCAGCTTTGAAAATCCAGCGGAGGATTGTGATGACTCGAAACAACTCAATGGCAGCGGGCTTGGCTTTTATTAAGTGTGCAAATAACACAATTTGACATATTGCAGCTATTAAAAAAATACGTGAAACAAAGACACAAAATGAGCATGTGCTGCTAGAAAAACAATGCCAATAGACTTTCTCCATGCAGACTTGCCACAAATCTTCAGTTTGTAAGAATGAAAGAATTTTACAAACTCTCAATTTGGTTTTTGGTGTTTTTTTTAAAGGCTCATCTACAAAGCACAATAAAATGAAGCACAATAATCCGAGATGTGCTTGTTGAAAAGTGGTGTCCTGGAGTAGTGGTTCTCAAAAAGCTTATGTGACAGTGTTGAGAACAGAACTGGCCCATCATTTTTCACAGTTAAAGATGTTTTAAAGAGGGGAATTTTGCTGTGTATGTAGTAAGAGTGCTGGACACCCAAGAGCTGTTAAATATAATAGCAGCTACTATGAGAGGGAGCTCAGGTGACCTAATGGGTAAGGAGTTGTGCTGCCCACCCAAAAACAGTCAGTTCTAGTCCACCAACTTGGGAGAAAGACAGGCAATCTCTTCCCGTGTACTTTGTTGTTGTTATGTGCCATCAAGTCATCTGTGACTCATAGAGACCCCTATATACAATAGCACTGAAGCCTGCCCTGTCCTGAACCAGTCTCACAGACTCTGATACACATACTCCCCTTGCCCTAGTTACTGTATCAATCCATCTCATCTGAGGTCTTCCTCTCCTGCACTCTCTCTCCACCCTTCCGAGCATGTTATCCTTCTCCAAGGATAGGTGCCTCCTGGCCACGTGCCCAAAGTATGTGAGATGGAGCTTCAAAATCCTAGCTTCCAAGAAGACAGACCTATTTGTTTTCTTGGTGGTCAATGGTATGCTCAAGACTCCTCTCCAGCACCCCAACTCAAAGGCATCAGTTCTTCTTCTGTCATCCTTAGTTATTATCCAGCTCTCTGATGAATAGCAAGTAATTGTGAAGACCATGGACTGGATCAGGTGCACCTTAGTCTCTAGACTGACATCATTGCTTCTCAGTACTCTGACAAAAGTCCCTGACAACAGATTTACCTAATGCAATTCCCCTTTTGATTACCTGACTGATGGTGTCAAAAGTGCTGTTTATGGAGCTAAGCAAACTGTAATTATTAACAATCTCAATCTTTTCTACATCCATCATGCGATTTATAGCTTCTGAAAATCCTCTGGAGGGTCAGCCATGAGTCTATTCCAACTGGAAGGCACATAACCACTATTGATAGATAAGATCTGATGATGCAATGATTAAGCACTTGTCTGCTAACCATTCAACCCCAGAAACTACTAATCTTTAGGATAAAAGACCTGGAGGTCTGTTGCCTGGAGATTGCTGTGGGACAGTTCCACTCTGTCCTGTAGGGTCACTATGAGTTGAAGTCAGCTCAGCAGCACACAACAGCAGCAGTATCGTCGGAGCACTTACTGTGTACCAGCACGCTTCTGAGTGCAGGGCATGATTTATCTCACACACGCCCTGTTGGGAGCTCTGGTGGCCTAGTGGCAAGAAGCTGCACCACAATCCCAAAGGCAGTCTCCTCCTGTGTGATTAACTGCCTCCGAAAGCGCACTGGAAGGTCAGCTTAGGGTTGGCTCCAGCTCTTCAGTACAGAACAACAAACCCCCAGCTAGGTATCTGACTGGCTAGCTTCTCAACTTCTCTGTGCCTCTTTTTTCTCATTGATATCAGAATACTACTGATGGTTATCTGGCTCCTGATTGGGGATGTGTGATGTGTACTGAGACATTGGATAAAAGCATACCTGGAAACTAGCTGGCACTAGATAGGCCTGGCCCTGTGCCTCAGGAAGCATGGTTACATAAAGTATTCACCAAATTACAGAGCTGGTTGAGAGAATCTCTGGAATCATAAACCAAGTCAATTCTGATTCATTGCAACCATCCTCTTGGGTTTCTGGGCCTTAAAGGGAACAGCTAGCTACCCTATCTGGAAGTGGCAGGTGGATTTCAACTACCAGTTGGCAGCTCACAGTGTATAGCTCTAGAAGTAGTCCAAATCTTGAGGTGTGTTAAAGAGGCATCTCACAGTTCATCTAGAAGTTGGTGGAGCAGGTTACTGTATTTAAACAATGTTCCAGCTGAAAGGGAGTCAGAGAGCTGGGATATTTTAATTCTATCCCTCCAGATCCTCCCATGTAGACATTGTAACTAATAGGCCACACAAAATTTGCCAAGCCTCTTTGTCTAGAGCAGTCTTAGGAGCCAGCGTTCTCAGTTCAGTTCCTGTCACCCTTTACTACATCCCTTGTTCTCTGGAGACCTCACTTGTCCCCTTGCAACACGTGGATGCAAGTGAGTCACAACAAAAAGTGCCATTGTGCGGGGCACAGGGTAGACCATCTGTGTGTAGTTGTTAACCTCTGTGGGCCATACTCAGAGGCAGGAGGGGCTTTGGCGGGCCTCTGAGCCACCCTCCACCCTACCAGGGCCTGCGGCGGGAGATCCAGGCCCACGGGCCGCGCCTGGAGGAGGTGCTGGAGCGAGCGGGAGCGCTGGCGTCGCTTCGCAGCCCGGAGGCGGAGGCCGTACGCAGTGGCCTGGAGCAGCTGCGGGGCGCCTGGGCAGGCCTGCGGGAGGCGGCGGAGCGGCGGCAGCAAGCCCTGGACGCCGCCTTCCAGGTGGAGCAGTACTACTTCGACATGGCAGAGGTGGAGGCGTGGCTGGGCGAGCAGGAATTGCTCATGATGAGTGAGGACAAGGGCAAGGTGCGCCCAGGCTGGGAGTTGCGGGGCTTGGGGGCACCGAATCCCGGGGCTGCCACCTCATCGCGGGGCGCCGTGTGCCTCCTCAGGATGAACAGAGCACCCTGCAGCTGCTCAAGAAGCACCTGCAGCTGGAGCAAGGTGTGGAGAACTACGAAGAAAGTATCGCACAGCTGTCACGCCAGTGCAGGGCGCTGCTGGAGATGGGACACCCGGACAGGTGGGCGGGGCCTGAGGCAAGATAGGAGGGGCGGGGCCTAGGGAAGAGTAGAGCAGGTGCTGAAATGTTATTAAATACCAGGGCAGGGTCTGAACCAGACAGTGGACTGGAGATGGGACCTCGTGGCTGCTGCCATGCTAGGGCCCTCAGATTTTGACAAGTGGGCTGGATCAGACTTGGAGAACACTGCCTAAAGTTACTTGAAAGGAGAGAGCAGGAGCCCTGAGAGGTGGGCTACCTACACTGCAGGGGTGGGGACAATATCTAGGACTGAGGAGGGTTTAAAGGGCCTCTTTCTCTGGGAGGACAGAGAAGTCTAGACTGCCCTGGATGTGTACGGGAACACCACTATATGTGGTCGGTGTCTGGATGCTCTGGGAGGCTTGGACCAGGAGCAGAATTTGAGAGGTGCACACAGAATAGATCTAGGCTGGAACCATGCCCTGGGCCTAGGGCACAGAGGAGGGCCAGGTTGGAGGGAAGGCATGAACCTCATGCAGGTCACTCAAGGGGTGGGGTGTGAGAGTGGGGATGGCGATAGGATATGGCCTGGAGGAGGAAGATGAAGTCTGTGAGGGACTGAGCTTATCTAACTAGGGGAGCTAAGCTTTCCCTGGGCATCAGACCTTGGTGATCTGAGCCTTGGAAAGCCAAATTCTTTTGGAAGGCTCTGTGGCCAGAGGCCCAAAGGAAAATGGCTCTGTTCAGGGGTGATCAAGGGATGTGACCCCCACATTGGAACATGTCCAGAGGTCTCAGAAACTCTATCCTTGTCTCCCCCTGCCCCACTCTTCCCCCTCAGCGAGCAGATCAGCCGGAGGCAATCCCAGGTGGACCGCCTGTATGTGGCACTCAAGGAGCTGGGAGAGGAGCGCAGGGTCAGCCTGGAGCAGCAGTACTGGCTATACCAGCTGAGCCGCCAGGTGGACGAGCTGGAGCACTGGATCGCTGAGAAGGAGGTGGTGGCTGGCTCACCTGAGCTCGGCCAGGACTTCGAGCACGTTACGGTGAGCGTCCTTAGTCACAGCAATGCCAGCAGCCACTGTATATGGTACTAAGGCCCTCTGGGCCTCAGTCTCCCCATCCATAATATGGGGATAATAATAGCACCTACCTCCTTGGCTCTTTTGTGAGACAAGTGAACTAATATACTCTATAGGACAAGGATGTGACAGTCTACTTCTGTAAAGAATATAGTTTGGGAAATCCTGCAGCAGTTCAACCCTGTCCCATAAGGTCATTATTCATTGGAATCAACATAATGGCAGTAGGCTGGGCTGGGGGGTAATGTAAAGTGCTTGAGAAATCCCTGGGTGAAGTACTTGTCAGTAGGTGTTGTTTTTAGATGCTGTAGAGATAGTTCCAAGTCAGAGGGACACTGTATACAGAATGGAACACCACCCAATCCCACGCCATCCTCACAAATCTGCTATGCGTGAGCCAGCCTATTTTACCCACTGTGGCAGCCAACTCCTTTGAGGGTCCCTCTGCTTTACCAAGCATGATGTCCTCAGAAACTGCATCATCCCTGTCATTGCTAATGGTGCATAGTGTACAGGGAGTTTCACTGCTAGCCCAAAGGCACCATGCCTCTCTGGGATCTCCAGTCCACAGTGGCTCTGCAGGGAAAGATGGGAAATTTCCTCTCTTGTGATTTACACCTCAAAAAACCTACTCTGTGGGGAGCTCTGGTGGCCTAGTGGCAAGGACCTGCAACTACAATCCCAGAGGTGCACGGTTCGAATCCACCATATGCTCTGCCGGGGAAGGAGGGACAATTTCCTCCTGTACCAGTCAGATCTGATTTGACGGTACACTCATGCAAAAATAATAAAAGTAATTTAAAAAACAACCAAAAAAAACAACCTACTCTGTGTTGATTCCAACTCAATGGCAAGGATATTGACTTTTGATCTTGCTCATTGCTACAATTAACTACTGTGTTAGATGTTATTTTTATTGTGATTATTGTTAGCATTACTCTTAGACACCACATGGTGGTGGGTTGAAGGGACTGGTATATGTGTCACCTTATCCCCTGTGCCTAATGGCAGGTGCTGCAGGAGAAATTCTCAGAGTTTGCCAGTGAGACAGGCACCGCAGGGCGGGAACGGCTGGCAGCCGTGAACCAGATGGTGGACGAGCTGATTGAATGTGGTCACACGGCAGCGGCCACCATGGCTGAGTGGAAGGATGGGCTGAATGAAGCCTGGGCAGAGCTGTTGGAGCTCATGGGCACGCGGGCCCAGCTGCTGGCTGCCTCGAGGGAGCTGCATAAGTTCTTCAGCGACGCCCGAGAGCTTCAGGGACAGATAGAGGAGAAGCGGAGGCGACTTCCCCGCCTGACTGCCCCACCGGAGCCCAGACCCAGTGCCAGCTCCATGCAGCGGACCCTGCGCGCCTTCGAACATGACCTTCAGCTGCTTGTGTCCCAGGTGGGCAGGTGGCAGGGCCCAGAACAGGTGGCATCAGTATGTAAGCATTGAAGTAGGTGAGAATTAGGTAATAGGATCAATTTTTACAAACCATGAAACATGAGTACCATGTGATGAGCTGATCAAAAATAATTAAACTGTCTGGTGCAAATATATTAGGCACTAGGGTGGAGTAGCTTAAAGAGTAGGTCTGATATACACAGGGTTTGGAAGAAGTTCATTCTGGTTTGACCTCTGCTAAGAATTTGCTTAGACATATTGAATCAGAATCTACATTTTTATCAGTGAGTTTCAGATGGTTCTTCTTAAAAGCTCCTCGAGGAGTTTATGGGTTGTAGTGGCCTCACGAGGTAAGAAATTGCAACCTGCTCGAGGATGAGCTATGGGTCGGTTCCAACCCGACGGTGCACAACAACAGGAGTTTACCGATTCTTACAGCTCTTATTACACAGAGGAATTACTTGAGGAACTGGATCAAAATTTTATGAAAGATAATCAGTTTGCAACCAGATGAAGGCAGACTTGGAAAGAAGTAAGGTAGCAGACAAAATAGAAACAGAAATTTGCAGGACTCAGGCAGCAGACTGAAAGGTACCTGGTAATAGATGTGAGAGAAATCCAAGAAAAATGAGGCAAAAGAAAACAAACAAAAACTTAAAAGAAAAATGAGATAGCAGACAGGGCAGGTAGCTGGTAGTGGGCCTTTCTAAAAGCCAATTGAAAGGATTTGGTAAAAGAAGTCGGACGCGGAAGAATTAAAGAATAAGGCAGCTTGAAGGCAGGGGTGTGGGGTTCCAGGAGCCAGGGCTTCTCGAATCTTCTGGTTCAGGTTCCGTCCAGCAGGTGGGCAAGGGGTGGGTGGAGCCCAGGCCCGCGGAGGGCGGGCGCCGACCCTGCGACCCTGCGTCGCCCTTCAGGTGCGGCAGCTGCAGGAGGGCGCTGCGCAGCTGCGGACCGTGTACGCAGGCGAGCACGCCGAGGCCATCGCCAGCCGGGAGCAGGAGGTGCTGCAGGGCTGGAAGGAGCTGCTGGCAGCCTGCGAGGACGCCCGCCTGCACGTCAGCTCCACAGCCGATGCCCTGCGCTTCCACAGCCAGGCCCGCGATCTGCTCTCCTGGATGGACGGCATCGCCAGCCAGATCGGGGCCGCTGACAAGCCCAGGTGCCCCTCACGCCACCACGAGCTTCCCACTTACCCCTGGTGGCCTCCCCCCGCCCATCAGCAGCCCCTTTGCTAGAGGAAATCACAACAGCCAGTCCCTCTAGGCCACCTCTGTGGGCAGTCATGTCGTTGGCCGGTCTGTATGGCAATAAGTTCTCTGGGCCGCAGAGCCCCAGCTCCATGCCAGGCATTGCCTGAATCTCTTTGCTTGTAGACTCCTTAATTGGGGCACTGGAGATCAGAGCAGGGCACAGCCTCTCAAGTCCTGAATGGCACAGTGGTTAGAGTTCTCAACTGTGAACTGTCAGGGGTTGGGATCCATCAGCTGCCATGTGGTAGAAAAATGTAGCACGTTGATTCCACTACAGCCTTGGGAATATTATGGGCAGTTCTGTGCTGTCCTGTAGGGTCACTTTTGAGTCAGAATTGACACAGAGTAGTGGATTTGTCTCCCTCACAAATCAAGGTGAGGGAAGGCGGGGGCTATATTAGGGGTCATGTAGGACCTGCTGTCCTATGATGAGGACCAAGGTCCTTCTGTCACAACCCTGGGAATTGATCAAGAGTCTCTCTGTGTCTAGCCACAGATTGATTAAAAGAGAGAGAGAAGAGAGAGCAGGAAGGATCACATAGAAAGTTCTAGAACCTGAACATTGCCTCCTATTCTGTCTCACAGCTGGCCCTAACTGGTGGATAAAGGTGACTGAGAGATGTAGTCTGATGATTTGTCTGCCCACTAAGGGGGCACCTCCTGGACACAGAACATCACTGTGTCACCCCAGGGCCTTGAACTTCCATTTCTTTACATTGAAAATATGTAATATGCATACTGAATGCCTCCTGGGTGGCCTTGCCCTCATGCAGCTTATCTTCTGAAGGTGATGCAAATATAGGAACACACAATAAGTTGCTATATAATTCCAGACATGAATACATACACTGGTGGTGTTATCCGTAGCTGTACTGCTAATCCACCTGTGACTCCACGTGACAAAATGGGGCAATCTCCTCCCCTCTGATGTACAACCTCAGAAACCCAGGGGAGAGTCAGCTGTGAGTCAGATCCGATTTGATGGCAATGAGAAAGAATGTGTGCTCTGAGGGAAAAGAAAGCTTGAAAGGAGGGGGCATAGCTGACCAGGCTTCTTTGGAATGTGGAATGGAGACCTGAATGAAGGGCAAGTCAGGGAAAATTTGTGGGGAAAGGCTTTTTCGTGGAGGGACAAAGAAAGGCAAAGACCTTGAGATTTGTTGTAGTTGTTTGGGTTTGCAGAAGAGAAGGTGGCTGAATGGAGTGAGGGAGGGGAGTGGAAAGGGTGACATGCAAATGGGGTCAAAGAAGGAAACAGGATCCTGAAGCCATACGTGCAACCAGCGTGAGAAGTTTGCCTTTTCTCTGAGGAAGATGGGAACCATAGGAGAGTTTAGAGCAGGAAGTGGTGTGATAGGATGGATGTCATTGTTGTTGTGTATTGTCAAGTCACCTGTGACTCATAGCGACCCTACATACAACAGCCCTATACCCTGCTCTATCCCGTGTCAATCTCATTCTGACACACCTACCCCCATTACCCCAGTCACTGAATCAATCCATCTCATTGAGGATCTTCCTCTCCTACTCTGTCCCTCCACTCTCCCAAGAATGACATCCCTCTCCAAGGACTGATTCCACCTAGCAGTCCACGGTATATCCAATACTCTTCTCCAGCACCACAGCTCAAAGGCATCAATTCACCTTCTATCATCCCTAGTCATTGTCCAGCTGTCTGATGTATAACAAGTAATTGCAAAGACCGTGGCCTTTAGCAGGCACACCTTAGTCTCCAGGCTTAATACCGTTACTCTTCAGTACTTTGGAGAGGGCTCTGACAGCAGAGTGTCCCAGTGCAATTCGTCTTTTCATTTCAAAAACTGTCACTCAAAAAAATAATTTAAAAACACACACACACAAAAAAAACCAAACAAACAAACCAAAAAACACACCAACAAACCCATCACTCCATATGTCTCCCAAAGAATAGACTGGAGGCAAGGACAAACACAGGGGACACCACTGAGAGGCTGTTCTGCCATTTGGGTGAGAGATGGTAGTGGCCAGGACCCTGATGGAAGGGAAGGAAGGCCTACATAAAGAGTTACAGCCTTGGAAAAGTGCTCCAGGGTCACTGTGAATGACCTGGATGAGCATAGTTTGATTTTATTTTAATCAAGAAATTTTTCAAAGCTAACAGAGTAATGCCTTTGGCTTCAACATGTGTCAACATCTGGCCAATTGAGTTTCATGTATGCATGCTCATATCACTGAGTGATTTTAAAACAAATCTCAGGCTCCTTATCCTTTCACAGGATGGACTTTAAAAAAAAAAAAAAGCTATATGTGTTCAACCTGAAAGATGGATTGGCTTCAGGGGCTGAGGGGAATGGAGGAGTCAAAAGTGAATTGACTAGATGGAGAGTCTCAAGAAGGCAAGTTTGGAGGAACAAGAAGAATTGGGATATCCTTCTAGACACAGGGAGCCTTAGCTTGCAATGGATTACATGGTGAGAACTTCAGGAATAATTCTGGATTTATTAAATCTTAGAAAATTATAATTCCTCCCTGGTAGAACTTTCTGGAATCTATTATGATCATATGAAAGCACAGGATGGTTCTGTTTTCCTGTGAGCAAGCCACAGCTGTAAGCCATGTAAATAATTATGAATTTGCTTGCAAGTGAACTTAAGGGGGAAAAACTAAGGGGGGGGGAACCTAAAGAGAAACACATAAAATTACTTTCAATAATTCTTTAACCAGCTCTACCCAGAAAGGATTTTTTCAACACTTTGTAGTTCTAGGTGGATGTCATCAAGTCAATTCTGCCTCACAGCATCCCTGTGGATGATAGTTTGAAATATGGTCTCAGTATTAATATTATTTTTTAGGTTTTTATATTAAATTTTCATGTGGAGTTCTGGTGGCTTAGAGGTAAGGAAATACACTGCCAATCCTAAAGTCTGCAGTTCAAATTCAGCAACTGCTTCATGGGGAAAAGAAAGGCACTCTCCTCCTGTGAGATTTACTGCCTCTGAAAACCCACTGGAGGGCCAGCTATGGGTTGGTTCCAATTGATAGTGCACAACAACAATAAGTATTTTTGTTGTACGTGTATGCACTCTTGAAAATATGGTGTGTATTTGACAATTTAAGACATCTCAGTTTGCACCAGTCACATCTCGAGTTACCACTCTGGCTAGAGCGGGCGACCATGTTGGACAGTGCAAGCTGAGATTAGAACTATTTGCAAATGAACCCTCAGAATCCTGGCTGCGGGAAGTTAGAAGTAGAGGTCAGATTCACAGAGGTTAGTCTCACAAAGGTATGACGTTTCATTATCTTAGAAAGTTGAGATGGTTGAATTAATGCAGAACTCCCTTGGGCCCTGAGAACCTGGTTGTAGAAGGTCATAGAAAGTGTGTGTGTCCCTGTGTGGTATGGACCTCAGCCTCATCAGGAGCTGTTGTATATGGGATGAGCTGAGGGACTCAGAGGTCCTGCCTACCGCTCACTATAGGGATGTGTCGTCGGTGGAGGTGCTCATGAACTACCACCAGGGCCTGAAGACAGAGCTGGAGGCCCGGATGCCTGAGTTGACTGCCTGCCAGGAGCTGGGCCACTCCCTGCTGCTCAACAAGAGTGCCATGGCTGATGAGGTGGGGAGGGTACGGGGCGCCCCCTCTGCCCCTCAGGCTGTTTGTAGGGGGAAGCCAGAGGCACCCCACCCTTATGCCTCTGCTGCCCACCTACCACTCCCAGATCCAGGCGCAGCTAGACAAGCTGGGAACCAGGAAGGAGGAGGTGTCAGACAAATGGGACCGCCATTGGGAGTGGCTGCAGCAGAGTGAGTGGGAGGCTGCCCTGGACAGAGTTCACCATGTGGGGACAAGTCCCAGAGGGTGACAAACTGGAGGGATTGGAAGGGTGGATAAGTGGCCTTGTCACCGGATTCCTAGTGGCAGTCCCCATGGGGGTGAGCTAGTGCCAAGCCCAGGCGGGCCTGGGGTGCACACACAGAGGGCTTGGGGATGAGGGAATCTTAGGCTCTTGTAATGGGGAGTGGAAGGCAGGGAAAGCCACCGCCCAGGAGGGCCCCACTGCAGCTGCCCTGGGAGCCCCCAGCGCCCTTGGCCACATGTCTCCCTCAGTGCTCGAAGTGCACCAGTTTGCGCAGGAAGCAGTGGTGGCTGATGCGTGGCTGACAGCCCAAGAGCCGCTCCTGCAGAGCCGCGAGCTGGGCAGCAGCGTGGACGAGGTGGAGCAGCTCATCCGGCGGCACGAGGCCTTCCGCAAGGCGGCGGCTGCCTGGGAAGAGAGGTTCAGCTCCCTGAGGCGTCTGACCACGGTCAGCACCCCAGATCCTGCCCTGACCGCCCCCATCCCTCTATCTGACAGACACTGGGGACTCAGCCCTAGACTGGTGACAGACTCTCAGGCTAGCAAGGTGACTGAGGGGTCAGAGGTGGTCAGAAGGGCTTGTCCCGACTGCAGCGATCAGATCCAAGTCTTGAAGAATGACATTGTGATTAAAAAAGAGAGATGTGTGTTTGCAGAAGGAAATAAGAAGCACAGGCCTGGACAACTCTGCTTTTTCAAAGAACTAGTGAGCAGTCCCGACAGGACATGACCTTGAGGCCCACAGAACCCAGAAGCGCTTTCCCAGAGCAGCCTCCGCCCTTCCCTGTGCCCCCACCGCTGACCCTGGCCCCTCCGTTCCCAGATCGAGAAACTCAAGGCTGAGCAGAGTAAGCAGCCCCCAACGCCACTTCTGGGACGCAAATTCTTCGGGGACCCCACGGAACTTGCAGCCAAAGCGGCACCCCTGCTGCGCCCCGCGGGCTACGAGAAGGGTCTGGAGCCCCTGGCCCGCCGCGCCTCAGACACGCTGTCGGCGGAGGTTCGGACACGGGTGGGGTACGTGCGCCAGGAGCTCAAACCCGAGCGCCTCCAGCCACGCATTGACCGGCTTCCTGAGGTCTCGGTGAGGGTGGAGCCCACTTCCCCACCAGCCGTCCCAGAGGACACGCCAGAGACCCCCAGGACCCCGCCACCAGCAGTGGAGCCAGACAGATCGCGGCCCGAGCGTCAGGAGTCAACCGATCGCGCCCAAGAACTGCCCAGGAGGCGACGGCCAGAGCGGCAGGAATCGGCTGATCAACCCGAGGAGGCTGCGCGGAGGCGGCGGCCTGAGCGCCAGGAGTCCACAGAGCACGAGGCGGCGCACAGTCTTACTCTGGGACGCTATGAGCAGATGGAAAGGCGACGCGAGCGGAGGGAGAGGCGACTGGAGCGACAGGAGTCCAGCGAGCAGGAAACGCCCCCCAGAGGAGATCTAGTCAAGGGGTGAGGCCCCATAAGGTCCAGGGTGATGGGTGCGGGAGCTTCTAGAGCCGCCAGTCCTAATAAGAGAGGCTCAGAACCGCCCAACGCAGTAGGTGCTCTGGTGGTACCCATTTTGCAGAGGTGTAAACTGAGACTGAAAGATAGTAGGAGAGGTGTTCTTTGCTGCACACAAGCCAGAAACTCCTGATTTTCAGACCCTGTGGTAGTCCCAGGCATGGATCTTCTTCTTTCTTCAGTTTCCCTACTGGGAATCTCCTGATTGGAGATAAGATCCTTTGTCACAATCAGGGTGAACCCTCTCAACTGCTTTCTGCAGTGGAGCTGCTGATGTCTCAGTCTTCTGGAGGGAGTCACTAAGGCACAGACAGGGCAAGTGGCCCGGCCCAGCCTGGAGCCAAGGCCTCCCAGACTCCCGCACTAACCTAATTGTGCACCCAAGTCCACTTGGCCATGTCCATGTCACCAGAAAGTCACATTTGATCAGATATGCTTTAAAGATGGTGACTTTTTGGCCCCTGAAGACACAGTACTTTAAGTGTTGGGCTGCTAACCAAAAGGTTGGTGGTTGGAATCCACCAACAGGTTGGACTCCACAGGAGAAAGATGAGACCATCTCCTCACATGAAGATTTACAGCCTTAGAGACCTGAGAGAGAGATGCCATTGGCTGGAATTCACTTGTTGGCAGGGTGTTTGTTTTGAATTTAGTAATTTGTGAACATCCGCTGAGTGCCCCAGGCCTGGTATGAACTAGTAACAGCAGTGACTGAAAATGTCCTGGCCTCGCCTTCCTGGGTCTCACAGTCCAGTGAGGGAATAGGACCATCTTACCTGTGATGGCCAGGATCTCAGAACTGAGATGAGGAAACCCAAGGGACTTAGGAGCCCAGGGTGTGTGTGAGCCACAGTAGGATCAACAGTTGAAGGGGTCACTCTGCATGCTGCTCTTTGTGTTACTTATAACTCAAGGGGGAGATGTTTGGACCCTCATTCATCCATTCAGCAGTTGGGTCCCAAGCACCTGTGGTGAACATCTGTCTGAGGGCAAACTGAAAGTGGGCAGAGGCTGGCACTTCAGGGTAAGGAGGCTGGTCTCTGGGAGAAGGCAGCTCAACTCCATTGGGCCATTTTGCCCCCCTCAGGAAGGCCACCCTGGCGGACATAGTGGAGCAGCTGCAAGAGAAAGAGGCAGGCCCTGGGCTCCCTGCTGGGGTAAGCTGGCCTTTGGGATGGATGGAGGCATAGTGTCCCCTCCCCCCAGAGGCAAGGGTCAGAATTCCTGAAACAGTGTTTCAATTGAGCCATGCAGAGAGTAGCACAGATTCCCAAAGGGGTGTGTGTGGCACATACCTGATATTCCCACATTCTGTCCCCTTATGAAGATGGGTAGTGGTTGAGACTGGATGGGGAGAGTCTCCCTGCATCTATTTCGCTTACCCTATTTCTCCACAATCCACTGGGTCCCAAACTACCTCACAGATGAGGAGGCCTCCTGACTCCCAGAGATACGGAAGCCTCAGATTCCTACCGAAGGCAGGACCCAACCTTCCTTAAGGGTGCCCCTTCTCATAGACTTAGCCCCTTTCCCTACTATCATTATGAGATAGTAATTATAAGTGCTACTAGATTCTTCTGTCCAACAGGGCCCTAAGAGTTAAACTTCTAACCCTGAGATCTTCCCAGACTCGCTTCCAAGAAAGACGCTCACCACCCAAGGCAGATAGGACCCTCAAACCCAGGAGCTCCCCAAATGACCCTCCTCTCTCGCAATTCCTATGGACCGTGCTCCTCTTCTCCCTCTTTTCACACAGCCGTCGCTGCCTCAGCCTCGCGAGCTGCCCCCTGGCCGCTTGCCCAACGGGCTTGAGCCGCCTGAGAGGACACCTCGGCCAGACCGGCCACGGGCACGGGATCGTCCCAAGCCCCGACGGCGGCCACGGCCCCGCGAGGGTGGTGAGGGCGGGGGAAGCCGGCGCTCGCGCTCCGCCCCGGCCCAGGGAGGCTCCGCCCCCGCCCCTCCGCCCCCGCCCACTCACACCGTGCAGCACGAGGGCTTCCTGCTGCGCAAGCGCGAGCTCGACGCCAACCGCAAGTCTTCCAACCGGTGAGCGGGTTGGGCGGGGCTTTGAAAGGCCCAGGGTGTCCAATGAATGAGTAGGTCAGTCGGCGGAGGTGTGACCGAATGGGAGGGCATCGCCCGAGGAGCGGGGCTCAACGTCAAGTAATCCAATCAGTGCTTATGACGAGTGGGCCTAAGCTTAGTGAGTCCAATGGGCATAGAGTTAATTGGGGGCGGGATCTGGCCTAAACACGAATGAATCAGGACTCAGTCACAATTCCACACAGAAATTGGCTATATAGGTATATAGCTAACTGTGGCTAGGACTGGAAGGGGAGACAGGAATTATTCCTTCCCTACAAAAATCCACTAGGGAACTCTCTAGAGATGCAGGAATGGCACAATAAGGAAGGACGACTGGGGGCAAAGTAGGTTAAGTGTTGGGGTGCTAACTCATTAACCGCTCCACTGGAGAAGGATCTCCTCCCATTAAGATTTACATTCTCAGAAACCCAAAGGAAGGTCGTCATGACTCACAATCAACTTTACGACAGTGGGATGGGGTTCTAGGTTGAGGAATGTTCCCGAACAAGGGCTTGCATGAAGAAGGCTTGTTGCCCTTGAGAAATCTAATATGGAGGGATTAGGAAGATCGACCTAGCAGTGGACCATCCTGAGAAAAGGCTTAGTACTGGAGACTTAGATTTTCCTCTCCACTCAGCAACAACTATAGGACAATGCAGGCACTGGGTCCCATCCAGGGCAAGAGTTGAGAGGTAGGGCAGCTCAAGCACATTCAGTCCTGTGGAAGCTATCTGTGAAGGGCAACCAGGCAGAGTGCCATCTGCTCCTAGCCCTTCTTGTCATCCTCAGGTCCTGGGTGAACCTCTACTGCGTTCTTAGCAAGGGGGAGCTGGGCTTCTACAAGGACTCTAAGGGACCAGCATCAGGGGGTACTCACGGCGGGGAGCCACTACTCAGCCTGCATAAGGCCACCAGCGAGGTGGCCAGTGACTACAAGAAAAAGAAACATGTCTTCAAGCTCCAGTAAGCCTCTGTAGTGGGCAGGCTGGGAGGGCACTCGTGGCCCAGCATCCCATCCCCACACATCTCTGGTCCCTTTGGAAGACAGAGGGTGGGTGGGCAAACCAGGCCAATGTCCTAGATTCCCCAAACCCTGTGTTCTCTTCTGCAGGACCCAGGATGGCAGTGAGTTTTTACTTCAGGCTAAAGATGAGGTGAGATCTGAACCTTTCTATCTTCTCTGTGAGCCTCAGGCTTTTGGGCCTAGGCTGAAGGGGCTGTGATGGGAAACACAGGCCAGAGTTATCAGGGTTGTACTGGGTGGGACCTCATGAGACCTGAGTGCTCAGAGGTTCCTGTCACAACCTGTGGAGGGGACAGGGCAGGGACGGCTACCTTGGGACAAATGCAACCTTGTCCTCTGAGCTGGGACTGGAAAGAACCTGAAGAGGAGAAACTCAGCTAAAAAAGAAGGTACAAGGTGGGGGTGGGGATGGAGGCAAAGGGAACTGCAAATGTAGAGGATTAGAGGCCAAGAACTGCAAAGGTTGGTGCTAGGGGACAGTTCCTGAAGAAGGAAAAATGGTTTTCAGAGCTGGAGACTACAAGGCATTGTGGGCCATTTGGATTTTACCCTAAGGGTACTAGGGAGCTATGGCAGGATTTTGAGTCAGGGAAGGTTATAGTGATACATAAGGAAGGTCTTATACAGGATAGATCAGAAGGGGCAAGAATGGGGGTTGGGAACGGAGGTGGCCACAAAACAGAGACCAAAGTGGGAGAGATCATAGCTGGACCAGGCAGGAGAGGAAGGAGTGAGAGACCAGAATTTGTGTGGGCATCAGATAAGGGGCAAGGGAAGAGGTCAGGAGGAATAGGTGGTGTAGAGTGATTTGAAGATGTTGAGAGTAATAACTTCACTTGATATCTCATTCAGTCCTCATAAGAGGTGAGAAAGCACACCTTATCTCTCTCTGCCTTTCTTTACTTATCTGTAGAGATAAGAATGGCTCTTCATAAGATGGTTATTGTGAAAAGTAAATAAAAAGAACATTTAGTAAGTCAATGCTCAGACATCCATACAACTTTCCACTACTATTATTACCATTTTTTAATTGTTGTTTCTCTTTCAACTCTGTCATTGAATGGGAATTACACTGTATAGAATTAAGGAGTCAAGCAGCAAGTAGTTTCTCATGTGTTGGATTGCTAATAGAGGCCGGTGGTTCACCACCTGCTGCTCCCAGGGAGAAAGATGAGCAGTCTTCTCCTTTAGAGATTTACAGCCACAAAAACTCCATAGATGGTCACCATAAATCAGAATTTACTCCATCCGTGGGGGGTTTTGAGTGGATTGTGTAGGAGTAATCCACAAAACAAAACTGCTTAAAATAGAGCGTCCCACCCACTAAGTGCATGTACCTCATTTAATAGATGAGAAACCCGAGAGGGCAGTGTGACTCCTAGGAGAGGCTATTCTTTAGAAAAGGATATCATGATTGTGGGAAATGGAACTTCAGAAAAAGAACAGTAGACCCACAAGTAGATGGATTGACACAGTGACTACAGTAAGGGGCTCAAGTGTGTCAGAGGTGAGGAGGATGGCACAGGATAGAAAGGGGTCAGATCTGTTGTTCATAGGGTCGCTGTGAGTCGAACTCACCCGGGTGGCACCTTACAACGGAGGTCTCCTTCTCCACAACACCGACCCATTTCCGTTTCTCCGCCCCTAGGAGGAGATGAATGGCTGGCTGGAGGCCGTGGCTGCCTCAGTGGCAGAACACGCCGAGATAGCCCGCTGGGGCCAGACGCAACCCACGACTTCGTCCACCGACGAAGGCAACCCCAAACGGGAGGGAGGGGAACGGGAGCGCAGGGCCAGCGGGCGCCGAAAGTGACTCCCCAGCACCAGCCTGACAGATCTGCGCCCTCCCCCACTCCGTGGGGACAAAGACACTTTCTCTAACGCAGGGGCAGGAGCCCCTAGTTCCAGCACTGCGGACTTGGCATGACGGGCACTGGAAAGGAGGGGACTTTTCCTGCACCTCAAGAAATGGTGGAGGGAGAGCAGCCCCTATAGCCATATATCGGCCCCTTCCTACCGGCCACCTCTACCCCGGGTGCTGGGGCTCCATTATTTTTTATGCAATAACTGAGCTTGGGGGAGCGGGGAGGGAGCCAGTTGAGCCAAGTCCCCTGCCCCAACCCCCCCAGATCTTGCCCCGAGAAGCTGGGGTGGTGAGGGCAATAATCTGTGCACCCCTCTCCACCCTATGGATGGGAAATGGGGGCGCTGGTGAGGTCCCCTGGACCATCCAGGGTGCTAGGGGGTGAGGAGGGGACCCCCCCCTCCCCGCCTTTACCTCACTTCCAATGCTGCCTTGATCTCTGTCTGGGAGGGGGGAGTGTGGGAGGCGCTAGCTCCCCTCACTCTGCCACCTCAGAGCCATGCAGTTAATTCCTGACTTAGTTTATTTTTGCAAAACGTCAACTTCCTCCTCCCCCGTGCCGCATCAGCGAAGGCTTTAAGTGGGAGGGGGCGTCAAAGCTCAGAACTGTCTTCCTCTCCTCCCCCCTCCAGCTGTAAATGTCCTTTCACGAGGGGTGGGGAGTGGGGGAGCCCTCCCCTTGCATGCTTCTGGCTGGAGCGCCTCCCTGTGGGGTTGCATAAACGGGCTGTGGGCAGCCCCCATGGCCACCAGGAGAAGCCGCTGGGACCCGGGGGTATGGGGCGGTGTGGCGGGCGCACACTCTAAGTACCTATAATAAACCCTTTGGCTTTGACGGTCTATCGTGCTAGATCTGTGTTTTTATGGGTCGCGTGCCTGAGGATTGGGGGAGGGCTGTAGGAGGGATTGAGAACTTGTCTGCCGACTAAATTCGAAGTTCAAACATTGGCTCTCAGACGAAGGATCTAGATGTCATACCTAAAATAGAGGCCTTGGGAAGGATGAGGTAGTGTTTTGTTATCGCTGGGCAGGTACACTTCCCCAAAAGAGACGCCAAGTAGCACCGTCCAGGCCAGGAAGAGACGGCGCCTTTAAGGAGGCGGTGACTTTAACTATGATGGGCGAACGTACTGTCCAATCGCCAGCGGCTTTGAGTCACCGGCCCAACGAGCAGGCGGCGGAGGCGGAGACCTAGTCTATACCCGGAAGTAGGCGCCGGTCGGCGGTCTCGTCTAGGGGGCCATGGCGGCAGCAGCGGCTGCAGCCGAGGGGTCCCCAAATCGGGGGCCTCCAGGGGAGGTGATTCATTTGAACGTGGGGGGCAAGAGGTGAGTGGGGAGGAGCACTTGGTTAGGGAGAAAAGAGTGGGAATGCCCGCCTTCCCAGGGGAATCCCTGTCCATCAAAGATTGCTCCGCCCCGTATTGGAGGCGCGAGAGCAGGAAAAAGCGCCGGGGAAGGGGCAAAAAAAGTACTAGGGAGGTGGGGTCGCATCTTTTTCCCCCTCCAATTATTTCACACGTCTTGTCCCCCTACCACCCCACTCTGCGCAGATTCAGTACCTCCCGCCAGACTCTTACCTGGATTCCAGACTCCTTCTTCTCCAGGTGATCGGGAGAGCAAGTTCTGGGGAGGATGAGAGGGGAATTATAGAGCCAGAAGGGAAAGGATGAGAAGACCTAATCACCCTCGACCCCTAACATTTATTCTGTGTACCTTCACTTTAGTCTTCTAAGCGGACGCATCTCTACGCTGAAAGATGAGACCGGAGCGGTGAGTAGGACTCTGGCTGGAGGACCTCCCCTCTCAGCTCCTCATTCCGTGCGCTGTTCATCCTTTGCCTCCCTCTCCTGCAGATCTTCATCGACCGGGACCCTACCGTTTTTGCCCCCATCCTCAACTTCCTGCGTACCAAAGAGCTGGACCCCAGGTTAGCATGGAGAGCAACCAGAGGCGGGCCCACCTTCTTCACCCTCCTCCCTAAGAAATCCTTTCTTCGCCTCTGAATGTTTGCTTACATCTGTCTCCCAATATTAGAATTGTCTTTCAGAATCCTGATCCTATGAAAATTACTGTATATCTCCAGAAGCCAAAATACATCTGTCTACCGATCTTCGAATCGGTGTCCCTGGAATTCTCTGTGAAGTTTTGAAAGTTCCTCTACTCACTTCTCAACGTCCTGCCTCTTCCTTCTTCCCTCATCCCTCAGCTCTTCACTGCTTATTAATTCTCCCATCCAGGGGTGTCCACGGTTCCAGCCTCCTGCATGAAGCCCAGTTCTATGGGCTCACTCCTCTGGGTAAGTGCAAATCCTGATTAGCATTCTCATTTGTATAGAGAATAAAGTTTGTAGTGTTGTGCCCTGATTCTTCCACTTCGCTTGTGAAGAGGGTTGGGTTAGAACTGAGAACACCAGATTTGTCCTTGGAGCCAAAAAAGGTGTTGGAATTTTCTGGGGGGGGGGGAAGAGGTGTGGAGGGTATGGGGGTTTGTCTTAATTTTTCCTCAAGACCCAGCCTTGGAATTGTCCTCTTCTAGTTCGTCGCCTGCAGCTTCGAGAAGAACTGGATCATTCATCTTGTGGAAATGTCCTTTTCAATGGTTACCTACCCCCACCAGGTGAGCCCTCCCAGTGCATAGTAAAGGCTGCACTTCCTTCATTGTGGTTCCAGCTTTTCTTGGGTGCCTGTGCTATGAGCCCGGAGACATGAGGGTTGGTAGTTCTGCATCAGATGCTTGGACTGATGCCTCCCGTGGTGGTCTTCCTTGAAGCTCAGAAATCTGTCGTACAGCCCAATAGGAATGGTAGTCAGGGCTTGTTTTCCTTGAGGGAAGTCTTAGGAGGAGCTGGAATCCATTGCATCCAAGGGAGAAGTATTAAAGGAGATTTTGTAACCACAATCCTCTTGAGAACCTAGAACAGCCAGCCCACAAACTACGGTAGATTTGCCCCAGAGGTTATTTGGAACTGTAGTCCACTAGGCTTTACAGAGTGATAAAAGGAACAGAGTAGGGAACTTGTAATTTATTGCTTTATTTCTCCAACCTCATTCATTAGGAACAATCTTTGTGAAGTTTCCAAAATTTGAAAATCTGCACTATTAATGTTATTAATTTATGTTTACTTGGCTTACATTGTATCATTTTAAATAGTAGTTTTGTATCCCTCCCTGTATACCTCAAATACAATACATGGAAATTAAATTCAAGCATAATTTTTCTTGGTTGCCATGAGTCAGAGCTAATTTAGCACAACAAAATGTCACCTGTTCCTTTTCCAAGTCCATGATGGTTAATAAGGAGACAGTTGAGAGTTGTTCTATAGGGTTTGATCAGTTTTTGAAGATAGAAGGCCAGGCCTTTTCTTTTTTAACGCAAACATAAAAGTGTTAATAAATCTGGCTACATGCTGTTGTCTGCCAAGGGTTTACTTGCTCTCCATTTATATAGAAGGAGATGCTAGTAAGAATTAAGGTGGCTCAGGGGTTAAGTGCTTGAATGCTAACCAAATGAAAGCCAGTTCAAATTCAACAACTACTCCAAGAGAAAGACGTGGCAGTCTGCTTCTGTAAAGATTCAGCCTTGGAAACCATATAGGGCAGTTCTGCTCATCTTACAGGGTAGCTATGAGTTAACTGACTCTGGCAGTAGGTTTGGGGAGATCTGGTGGCCTAGTGGGTAAAGGGTTGCACTACCAGTGCAAAGGCAGGCAGTTTGAATCCACCAGAAGCTCTGAAGGAGAAAGATGCACAAACCTCTGTGCAATATACAGCCTCTGCAAATCCACCAGACGACTAGCTATGAGTCAGTTCTGACTCGAAGGCACATAACTACAAGAAAAGACTTCAAACTGAGTTGTGACTATCCTTTAGAGACTAAAAAGAGCTCGGGTGACACAGTTCCTAGAGCTTTAGCACTGTTAACACAAAGGCTATACTTACCTGGTGATTCAGATTCATCATCTGCTCCTCTGGAAAAAGATGAATAGTCTCCTAGCATGCGATTTATTACAATCTCGGAACCCAGAGGAGAGTCAGCTGTAAGTCAGAACTGACTTGATGCCAATGAGCTTTTTAATTTTTTTTTTTAAGGAGACTAAAAAAGGAGTAAGGAACTCTGGTCGCATAGTCCATAGGGCTAACCCAAAGGTGGCACCTTTGGTAGTTCAAATCCACCAGCATCTCTGCAGGAGAAAGCTAGGAAATCTTTCAAAGATAGAGGTTCAGCGATGAGTCAATTGCAATTCAACAGCTACAAATTTGAGTTTTTTTGAAAGAAGGAGTAATAAGCTGAGTGATTTAGTATTGCTTAAGATATTTGGTCCCAAATACTACATAGTGCCACTGTTGTGACACAGGACTGACATCGGGGTTGAGGGGAGACTGAGAAAGATGGGATAAATTATGTATACTGCATTGAAACAGATGAGGGAGAAAACTGTTTAAGAGGAATATATGATTAGGTATTATTGTCATGACAGGAGTCCAGAATGGAGGCTGCACAGTGGAGTGGACTTAAGGGGAGGGATTGTATAACAATGAAAGAATTTTTCTTTTACTTTTCAAGGAGAAGAGTGAAGTGGGGGGGAGGGGTGAGCAGGGAGAAAAGTGCAGCAATGAATGAACAGAAATTTTTAAAAAAGATATTTGGTCCCTGAACACTTGAAGTCTTGCCAGGAGCCTGCTCCCCACACGTACAAAAATGCCATTGGCATATTTTTCAGTGTTTGTTACACAGATACCACTATTGCAGCCATTGATACTTTGTCCCTCCACCCCTACCATAGTGTTCCCCTTGAAGCGGAGGATACGGCACAGCCTGGTGGGACCCCAGCATGCAGGAGGGCGCCCGGCACCTGTTCGACGGAGCAACACGATGCCCCCCAACTTGGGCAATGCGGGGCTGCTGGGCCGCATGCTGGAGGAGAAAGCTCCTCCACCCTCGGGTATGGTTCTGCCTCCTGGGAGGTGGGGCAACAACTGGGGACCCCTTGACCCTGCCAGAAACGCCTGCTGTTCTCCTCCAGGGCTACCTGAGGAGCCAGGCATGGTCCGCTTGGTGTGCGGACACCACAACTGGATCGCCGTGGCCTACGCCCAGTTTCTTGTCTGCTACAGGTGCTTGGGAAGGGAAGTGTCTTGAGGCTTTGGACCCAGATGGAGGAGAGGATTTGGGGTGAGCACTGATGATGTCTCCCCAATCCTGTAGGCTGAAGGAAGCATCTGGCTGGCAGCTGGTCTTCTCCAGCCCTCGCCTGGAGTGGCCCATTGAGAGGCTGGCACTCACGGCCCGAGTGCCTGGTGGGGCTTTGGGGGAGCATGACAAGATGGTGGCAGCTGCCACAGGTAGCGAGATCCTCCTGTGGGCACTGCAGGCGGAGGGTGGCGGCTCCGAGATAGGTAAGCTGTGTGGCTCCTCCAGCCCTGCCTGTGCCCTTCCACAGTCTCCCCTGACTTATATCCTTGTCAGATACTGTGGCCTCTTAGAATCATCTGCCCTGTTAGAATTCCACACTGTCAGACTGTGTGAGTTGCTGTCATATTAGCTCTGACTTAGAGTGACTGATGGAATAAAACATTGCCTAGTCTTGTGCCATCTTCACGATCCGGGCACGCTCCAGCCCAAGCTGAGATAGATGTGTGATGTGTGTGGCTGTCATACAGCCGGGGGCTTCTTTTCCAGCGCTGTGTCAGACAGTATCTTACTGTGAGCCATAAGGTGTCATGCTTGTTTTTAGAAGGAATGCTTTGCTGCTACTTATTTCCCTGCTAACCAAAGGATCAGCAGTTCAAATCCACCACCCGTTCTGCAAGAGAAAGATGAGCACTCTCCTCCCATTCGGTTTACAGCTCCTGAAGGGAAATCCTTTAGAGGGTCACAGTGAGGTGGGATCAAAGTCGATGGCAGAGGATAGGCCCTTCTTCATCTCTGCTAGTCTGGAAGGTCTGCTGAGGCCTGGCCACCATAGCCGACCCAGCTGTGTTTAAAATACCAATGACATAGCGTCCAGCATCACAGGAACAGGCAGGCCACCATTATCTGACTAGCAGACAATTGGTGGGTAGACTAATCTAACTTGTTCCAATTCTGTAGCTTATTGCACTAATCCTTCCCGTAAATGTCAAGCCCACCAGAATTCTCCATCCATTAGACCTCTTTGCCTTGTTAGAAGTCCTTAACCTTTTCAAATCCTGTAGCCAGTTAGGAAAATCCACTGTAGTTTTCTGACAAAACGAGCACTTCAGACTCACTACTGTCAGGTTTCTAGGACTCGGGGTGACCCTCCGTGGGGTCTCTGAGGCTATGGAGAAAATTGCCTCATCCTGTTCCCCAAGGAACAGCTGGTGGATTCAAACCACTGACCTTTTGGTTAGCAGCCCAACCCAGAACACATTACACTACCAACAGCTCCTTAACCCACCAGAATTCCCTGCTCTGTCAGAATCCCTGGCCTATTAGATCACTTTCCTCTGGAATCCCAGAAGCTGTTGGACTCTGCATTCCCATTAGGCATCTCTAATGTATTAGACGAACTTATTCCCAATAAAGGGAGCTCTAGTGGTAAGGAGTTGTGATGCTAACGCAAAAGGTGGGAAGTTCGACTCTACCACCAGCTCTGCAGGAGTAAGATGGGCAGTCTCCTCCCATTCAGTTTATGGCCTCTTAAAATCTACTGATGGGTCAGCAATGAGCTGGTTCCAACTCAACAGCACGTAACAACAACAATATCCAATAAATTTCAGTCCTCAAGAGAGCCCTCTGCCACCACTGGAGCTGACGTTCTTGGAAATCTCAACCTTGTTAAGAGTCCCACAGTCTGTTAACGTCCTATGTCCCATCAGAAATCTAACTAGATGGGATTCTCTTAATTCCTGCTGGAATCCTTTATCCTGCAAGGATTTCAGGACCCACTGAATTCCCTGACCCTTGGAGCTTCTTTTGCACACATTTCAGCCACTCTGTACCATCCCTTGTGGATTGAGGGGCCTCTCTGAGCCCTCAGTTGTCTGTGCAGGAGTCTTCCATCTGGGGGTGCCCGTGGAAGCCTTGTTCTTTGTTGGGAACCAGCTCATCGCCACAAGTCACACAGGACGCATTGGGGTATGGAACGCCGTCACCAAACACTGGCAGGTAAGAGCTCCAGCCAACCCTGTTTCCTGATCCCCAGATTCAGGGAAGGGTTTCATTCTGCATTCCCCCAGCAGCAGTGGGCCAGAACCTGGGGCTAGGGTTGTGATGCAGGCCTAGGGAAACATCTCAGAGGACTTCCTGGAGGAAGGAGCTTCTCAAACTGGAATGTAAGCTAGATGGGTTTGGAAAGGAAGAGTGTACTCTTCAGACCCTGGGTGTGGAGAGAGTGACAGAAAGATGGATGAATATGCAGCAGAGGCAAAGAGAAGCATGCATGTACCATGTTGCTATTTGCTACTAAAACGTGAGTGTGTGGGAGAGAGAAACGGAAGACTAAAAGTGAGTGTGTGGGAGAGAGAAACAGAGGCAGAGAAAAGACGGGGAGAAACAGACGAATACAAACAATAAATAGAAGAGGCAACAACTGAGAGAGAAACTTGGACTGAGTGGCTGGGACAGGTGAAGGGACACAGAGGGAGGGAGAAGTACAGAGTAATGTGAGGAAAAGAGTCACTGAGACACCACAGGCAGACACACAGAAAGAGCTGGAAGAAGATACAGAGGGTGAATTGAAAGCTGAGTGAGTGCTATGGGGTGTTCTCGGTGGGGACTTGGGGGAAGCGGAGTTGTGAAGAGCGCTTTGCTTTGCCTTATCCCTCAGGTCCAGGAGGTCCAGCCCATCACCAGTTATGACGCCGCAGGCTCCTTCCTCCTCCTGGGCTGTAACAATGGCTCCATCTACTATGTAGGTGAGCAGCACCTGGGACCCAGAAATGATAAAGATCAGGTACAGGCTAGGGCACCATAAACAACCATCCTCCTCTCCACTCTCCCTGTCCACGGCAGATGTGCAGAAGTTCCCCCTCCGTATGAAGGACAATGACCTCCTGGTCAGTGAGCTCTACCGGGACCCAGCAGAGGACGGGGTCACTGCCCTCAGTGTCTACCTCACCCCTAAGACCAGTAAGTGTGACCATGTCTTCTCTTACTTCAGCCCCAGCCCACAGTTATCTCCACCACTCACACAGCAGATCAAGTAGGATTTGTTGGGAGGACAGTCATTTAACAAACATTTACAAGCAATAGTTATAGTTCCAGGTGCTAGACTACCAGATGTGCCGCTTGTCCAGTAGGGGCAGAACTGACCCCCCTAGTCAATCCTTTTCCAGCTTCCATCTCTGTAATGAAGACATGTCTTAGCTTCTTACGCTTGCTTTAACAGAAATACTAAAAAGGGATAGTTTAAAAGAACAGAAATTCATTTTCTCTCACTTTAAGAGACTCAAAGTCCTACTTGAAGACATAGTCTCTTGAAGAAGGGTCTCTTTTTATCTGACCTGGGAGGAAATTCTTGTCTCAATTCTTGGTGATCTCCATTATCTCTCTTGATGCGCCCACAGGTGTGGACACATTTGTGCTTGTTCCTCTTCATATCTAACCTGCCATTTTTGGATCCCGCAGTGGTGAGCTTTAAGATATACTCCACGCTGATGAGGCCTCATTAATACAATAAAGAAAACTTAAGCCTAGATAGGATTGTAGTTATAGATGTAAAGGAACACATTCAAGCCTTCTTATTTGTTAAACTCTTTCTTATTCATTTTAATGAAAGTTTAGAGAGATTTCCAGTCATTCATTGTTGCACAGTCCTTGCATACTCATAAAAAAAGAGGACATATGTGTTCTAGTGCATGAAATCAAGTTCTTTGGTTTGGGAAAGATTTTTGTTGGTTTTTTCCCTTCTTTTTTTTTACCTCAAAAGTAGAGAAATAGATTGTTTTGTTTGCTTGGTTTTGTTCTTAAATGTCGTTGAGTCGACTGCAACTCAGTGACACTGTGAACAGCTGATCTGAACCCTGCACTCTGCTGGGCGTCCTGACCATCTCTGGCGCGCTCAAGCCCACTCTTTTTTTTTTTTTTATTTTTATTTTTTTTTCAAGCCCACTCTTAACAGTCACTGTCAGTCCACCTCACTGAGGGTCTTCCCCTCCTTTGCTGACTCTCCACCTTTCCAAGCATGATGTCCTTACCCAAGGACTGCCCTCCTAACAGCATACCCAAAATAGAGAAAACGGTTTCACTGTCCTCGCCTCTGGCCCCACCTTTTCCACAGACCATAAAATTCACTCTTTCCAAATGTATACATACAATTGGTAGTTTTGCATCTCTTCACACAGCAGCCATCACCATCATCTACTTCCAGAAGATATTCATCATCCTCAAAAAAAGCCCAGTGCCTGTTAACATTTCTGAGTTTCTGATATTGTTAGGTGCCCTGGAGTCAGCTCCTGTTCAGAGCAGCCCTGTACAGAACAGAACGAAACCGCCCGATCCTGTGCTAGCCCCACCTTGTTGGCTGGGCCTTGCTCATTGCTGCAGTTACCATGTCAATCTATCTTGTTGAGGGGCTTCCTTTCCTTCTCTGATCCTGTACTTTTTCAGCCATGATGCCTTTTTAGGGGACTGGCCCCTTCTGTTAACATCCCGAGTATGTGAGGCAAGCCTGGCCATCCTTGCCTCTAAAGCACATTGGGGCTACACTCTGATGTGTGCTTATGAGGTGACAGCCATGCTAACTTCTGCTAGCCATTCCATTATCTTAGCAGGAATATCATATCTAATTTTGAAGAAGAAATATCATGTGGCCTAGTGGCAAGAAAGCTGCACTGCAATCCCAGAGGCGCACGGTTCAAATCTACCAGATGCTCTGTCGAGGAAGGAGGGACAATCTCCTCCTGTACCAGTCAGATCCGATTTGACGGTACACACACAAAACAGTAAATTTTTTTTTTTAAAAAAGGAACTATCACATCCATTTTCAAAACATTGTGTCACCTTCCACAAAATCCCATCTTGTTTCATTTATTTATTCATTCCTGTTTCTCACCATATGTTCTACAGTTCTGTCATAGTTAGTATTTATCTTCTCGATTTGCATCTGTCCTTCCAAAAAAATTACACGAATGATCTTGGCCATACATCCAGTTCCCTGCCCTAGATTTCCTGTCCATCCATGCTGCCATGCACATCCTTAATCCGTTACTTACCAGCGCTGCACAAAATCCTCCAACCACATGCGACCTCCTCACATTCCTTAGGCTGTTCCGTGAAGTTTCTAATGGTTGCAAAATTATTTTCCCCTCTGGAAAATTGGCAGGGGGTGAGTCCCTTAGACAGGCCGGCTTATGTTCCCTTGCCCTGCTGCTTGTGCCTGTTCATGTGGCTTTTCTGTGCTAGTCTGTCTTCCTCTCTCATTCTCTCCCTTTCTAAGTCTCTGTTTCTAGCTCTGTGCTGTGTCTGTTTCTTATTACTGCTGTCTATAGTTCATTCTTTTCCCTGATCTGTCCCTTTGTCTCCTTGCTCTTTCATTTCTTCTCTCTCTACCCTAGCTGGCTTCTGTAGCCCCCTCTTCCGACTCTCTCTCTGTTCTTTGTTGTTCTCTCTCTCACTCTGACTTGGTTTCTATCTCTCTGGGACCTGGACCCTCTCTCCATCCTTGGCCCTGACCTGGCCACCTCCTCTCTCCCCAGGTGACAGTGGAAACTGGATTGAGATTGCCTATGGCACGAGCTCAGGGGGCGTACGTGTCATTGTGCAGCACCCAGAGACCGTGGGCTCAGGACCACAGCTCTTCCAGACCTTCACGGTGCACCGCAGCCCCGTCACCAAGATCATGCTGTCTGAGAAGCACCTCATCTCAGGTAGGCCTGGGGGGCAGCCCTGGGCCCATCACCTGCAGAAGGCGCAGCTCAGATGGGAGCAGTGGGAGGTCAGAGGGTTTCCTCAGCTGGGGGACCCTGCAGGGTGGAGACCTCTAAGAGGAGAAGTTTGAACTGGAGGGATTTGCACAAACAAGATAATATTTGCCAAGAGACCAGACTAGAGGAATTAGTTGAGAATCTGCTGTGTGCCAAGCACCCCTCAGCAGTAAACGCAATAGACAGAGCCTTCCTGGAGATGGTGTACTTATGAGGGTAACATACAGGTAGCAGATGTATGTTTTAAAAAAACAAAACAAGGGCACTCTGGTGGACTGGTGGCAAGAAGCTGCACTGCAATCCCAGAGGTATGTGGTTCGAATCCACCAGATGCTCTGCTGGAGAAGAAGGGACAATCTCCTACACCAGTCAGATCTGATTTGATGGAACACACAAAAAAGAATAAATTTTGTAAAATAAATAAAAAAGCAAAACAAAGCCATTGCTATCAAGTTTGACTCATAGTGACCCTATGGTGCAGAATAAAACCACCTCATAGGGTTTCCAAGGAGCTTTAAGGAGCTTTCTGGCATGGTTTGTTATGTGTTGTACCTTTAACCAAAACGCCAGCGGTTCCAGCGGTTCAAATCTTCTAGCGGCTCCTCGAGAGAAAGATGAGGAGATCCAGTGGAAGACTAGAATCAACTTGACAGTGGTGGAGCGGCTGCCACACTTGTCCCCTGAGCAATGGCTGGGTCAGATTGCTGACCTTTTGATTAGTTAGCTGGACACTTTAACCACTGCACCAGAAAGGCTCCTTTTATGTGCAGACTCAGACCCGCTGCTGTTGAGTCTCAGTCCTGCCTCGTTGTGTCCCTTTGTCAGATTTCTGAAACTGTGAGTCATAGTGGGAGGAGACTGCTTCATCTTTCTCCTACAAAGCGGCTGGGGGTTCAGACCACCAACTCTTTGGTTAGCAGCCCAACCCTTAGCCTACGACACCACCAGGGCTCCTTCAAGGATGAATCTGTAGGCCTATCAATCAGTGTTAGGTAATAAGGAATGCTAGGAGTAACAGTCAAGCTGTGTGAGTTAGCCTCATAAGCTTATGAAGAGTGGGTGATTCCAGGAAGGCCTTCTGAGAAGGAACTTTTGAAGAGAAATGAAGGAATTGACAGCAGGGAGAAGAGTTGTGGGCAGAGGGAACAGTCGCTGCAAAATCTCTCGGGGAGGCTATTTGGAGGGTTTGCAGAAGAACAAGGAGGCCTGTAACTGGAGCGAGTGAAAAGAAGGGGAGAATGGAGGAGCTGCAGTCAGAGGGGACAGGGACAGATGAGGCAGGGCCTGGAGAAGATGGCTCTTACTGTGAGTGGGGAGCTGGAGGCACCGGACAGGGGGACGGGAGGCTCTGAACAGAGGAAGGGCATGCCCTGACTCAAGACATTCACAAGCTGCGTGTGGAGAAGAGACTGGAAAGCAGGGAGACCAGAGAGGAGGCCGCTGGGATGGCCCAGGCAGGAGATGAGCATGGGACTAGGCAGGGGCACTGGATATAAGACACACAGACTATTCTGAAGGTAGAGCCAATAGGCTTTACAACCATTTGCTTTTCTGGGGACAAGAGGCTCCTTAGAGATGCAAGAAATCACAAGGTACTTTGAAAGCGGGTCCCCACTGCTGGGGAGGAGGATGAGGCTGACTTGCTGTCCCTTCCCTCCTCAGTCTGTGCTGACAACAACCACGTGCGGACGTGGTCTGTGACACGCTTCCGGGGCATGATTTCCACTCAGCCTGGCTCCACCCCCCTCGCGTCCTTCAAGATCCTGGCACTGGAGTCAGCTGACGGGCATGGCGGCTGCAGTGCTGGCAATGACATTGGTGCTCACTTGGATCCCCAACTTTACTGACTTCCCCCTGATCCCTTCCTTATCCTTGACCTCTGTCGACCCCATTAACGTAGGCTCCACCCTTGACCCGGATTCTCCTTCCATTGACCACTGTTGGCTTCAACCGTCTTTGATCCCAGCCCACTATAGTCACCTGGGGATGGGTTCTAGCACGGGGAGGGGGCTCATCGGTGGAGAAGGAGCAGAGCTTTGGGATTGGGAGGTTCAAGAGACCCCAGCGGGCCCTGACCCTTACCTCTGCTGGCCCAGGCCCCTATGGTGAGCGGGACGAACAGCAAGTGTTCATTCAGAAGGTGGTGCCCAGCGCCAGTCAACTCTTTGTGCGCCTCTCGTCCACGGGTCAGCGGTGAGGACCCTCCTCAAATGGAGATTAAGGTCAAAGGATAGCCAGCCATCAAAACTGAGACACAACCAAGGATGGGACACTGAGGCTTGTAGGGGGCTGCTGAAGGGCAAGGGCTGGAAGGGAGGACAGACCTGGACGTTTGGGAGCTGGAGGTACTAAAGGTGTGGCATGCAGTGGGGTGTTGGGTTGGCCCTGCCAGCCAGGTTGAAGAGCTGAGGATATTGGCTGACCGCACTGGGGAGTGATGGCCACTCTGAGAGTGGTGGAGGGGAGCTTAGAGCCTAGGGAGGAGGCTGGGACTGGCAGGGGTGAGGCTGGGAGAGGTGATCACGTGGCCCAGTCAGGTGGCTGAGGGCTAATAGAAATAGAGGGGGAGCAGCCAGGTGAGACTCAGTGGGTCTCTCCTGCAGTGGGGACAGTGAAGGGAACAGATGGAGGAGGACGTTCTGGAGGCCAACTGAGGCACATAATGTGGGTGTGCGGGTCTGGAGGCTGCTGAGCTGCCGAGCTGGAGCTCAGAGAGGCCAAGGGGAGGGGCTGGGCTGGGCCTGGAGGCCACCTCACTGATGCCTCCCCTAGGGTGTGCTCCGTGCGTTCTGTGGATGGCTCGCCCACCACTGCCTTCACTGTACTCGAGTGTGAGGCCTCCCGGCGGCTCGGCTCCAGGCCTCGGCGTTACCTGCTCACTGGCCAGGCCAACGGCAGCCTGGCCATGTGGGACCTGACCACTGCAATGGACGGCCTTGGCCAGGCCCCTGGTATTCCCTCCCGCCAGACCCAAGCCCTGACCCTTTGTTCCAGTTCTTGCCCTCTGAACTCTTTTTCCTTGCCCTTTGACCCCTTTCTCTGCTCCTTCAACCTCTTGCAACTCTAGTCCCTTGTTTGTTAGCCCCTGACCCTTATCTCTGACCTCTGAATCCTTTATCCTTCCCAGGCCCCTGAGTCTTGCCCTGTGATCCCATCCACTTCCCTGTGACCCCTGACTTGTCCCCAGCAGGTGGCCTGACAGAGGAAGAACTGATGGAGCAGCTGGAGCAGTGTGAGGTGACCCCACTGGGTTCCTCAAGGAGTTCTCTTCCCAGCCCCTTGCCCCGAACCTCACTCACCAGGTGACTGATGGGGGTGGCCTCACAGGAAGGGGTGGCCTGGCTGACTTGATGATCACTTGCCCTGACCCTCACCATCCCCTCAGTCTTTACTCAGCTCCCAGCAGCTCCTCCTTCTCTGGGCACCGTGAGAGTCCAAGCCCCCAGACTGAGGTCCGGCGCCGAGGAGGGGGCAGCTTTGTGGAACGCTGCCAGGAACTGGTAGAGAATGGGCCAGAGCCCCGACGGCCGCCAACACCTGCCCCTCGACCCTCCACGGGCCTCGGTGCTCCCCTCATACCACCCAAGGTGAAGCTCAATGAAACATCCTTCTGAAGACAGCTACCTTTGTGCCTTTTGTACCCTGGTCCTGGTGTACTCAGGTGCCTCCTACTTCCTGTCAGACCCCTGAGTTCAGGGCCAGGGCCTCATTGGAGTAGTCACTGTTACTAAACCCTCACCTTTACCCTTTTCTGGAAGCCAAAGTCACCCTCTTTCCAATAAAGTTCTCACTACCAACATCTGACTCACATTCTTAAAGAGTTTGGGGACCCTCCTGAGAAGTAGAGGAAGGGGTTGGGCCCAGCTAAGTCTCTGGCTTATAGAGTCATGAACCTCTGTCTCTTGTTTGCTTGACATTCGGTTTAGAGTTCAGGTATGGCTGGATCCAGGAGCTCCAGAATTTGTCTCCTCATTTCTCAACTTTGCTTTTCTTGGGGATGTGTCACTCCTCGGTTTTCCCCTCTCTGGGCCAAGATGACTCCCAGGGACATCTTTTCTCTCTCAAACGCGCAGCCCTGGAATTGGTTTTAACTCATAGCAACCCTGCATTGGTTTCTGAGATGATAAATCTTTATGAGAGAAAACTGCTTGTCTGTATCCCCAGGAGCACACTGGTGGATTCAGACAGCTGACTTTTCATGACACATTTTGAACTGTGACACTAAGGCACCTTTTTCTCTTCAGCAGCAGCCAAAACTTCAGGGCTGATTCTCAACTAGTTTGATTTTGTTCACATGGCTGGCCATTCCTGATAAAGGGTTTCCATCGGTCAGCCTGGGCCACACCAGGAGATGAGGTCATCCTCAGTGGGAAGAGTGGAAGAGGAGGAATTTCTAGAAACAGCAGGATGTTGTTAACACAAGCAGTGAATGCCTTTGGGTGGGCTTTCTGGGTTTCTCTCAAATAACTACACAGTTATACTTGCCCCCAACACACTGCCCAGCACATATAATTGCCCAGATCTTTGCTTCTTACCTGGCCATTAAAAAAGGGTGTGTGAGGCAGATTCAATTAACTATGTAGTACTTTTCCCCTCAGATAGTACCAGTTGCTATAACACCTCCTTTGGGAAGCATGTGCATATTTATTTTGAGCCAATGAAGCTTAAAAAAGTTGGGTCAGACCAGGAACAGAGGATGTTAGCATATATTCGTTTTAGACTACATGGGTTATCTGGGATTTAACATCTCTGGGATATGTTAAAAAGAGATCTGGATGTTAGGAAATCTAGGGAACAGTTACTGTACGAGTGGATTGGCAATACGGGGAGGATCTCCTCTAAATATCAGAGAATCTACAAATTTCTCATAAAAGGATTTAAAAACTAAGATTGTAGAGAGATCTGGTTCTAGAGTGTTCTAGAATATCTGGTTCTAGATGTTTTGGAATACCTGTGATTCTCCATCAGTAGAAATTGTTTGCCTACCAGGGATTCTAGAATGTGACAATTTCAGAACACAAATGACTCTAGGTTGCTGGAAAATATGGGGTCTATACACACCAGGCCTGGAGTTCTAGCAGGTTTATTTTCATTCCAAGGAATCTATTCTGGCAGGGAATTCTGGATCGCTGGAGAATCTAGAACACCAACGAGAATTCTTCAGGTTGTTGAGTACCATTGAGTTGGAACTGACCGGTAGCTGACCCTCCAGTAGGTTTTTAAAGGTAGTAAATCACACGGGAGGAGATTGTTCATCCTTCTCCCATAGAGCAGTGGGTGGATTAGAACCATATGGTTACTGATCTTAGAAACTGAGCCTTCTAGAATACCTATGAATCTCAATTGTTTTTTCCTAGTCCACAGCACTCAAAACATTGGAATATTTGGCTTTCAGAGATTCTAGAAGCATGAAATGTAGATATAAAGATGCGTTGTGATGTCTACAGGCCATTCTGTCCATTCTGGCAAGTTCAGAACACTCGTATTCCTGAAATTCTGATACTTCCAGAATTGTGGGAGAGATCTGAAATGCCAAGGAATCTAGAAGACTAAACATTAAAAACTAAAAACAATTAGGGATAAAACAGTGGGGAGAAACAGGTGGAAGGTTCTGGAATGCCAGTAGTCAGATCCAAGGAGTCAGAGTGCCCCAGAGAGCAAGGCACTGACAGGAAAGAACTGGAAGCTGTAAAGTTCAAACTCTGGGGGGAGGGGAAGGCAACACCATCCCCGGAAGTTGCATGGTGAGCCCGAGATAGTTGCCTAGCAACGAGCATCCAGCATCGAAGATGCCCTGGATCACTGGCAGAAGAAAGGCATTCCTGCAGCGACCGTGAGCAGATGCCCGGCCAGGGTAGGAAGGAGGGAAGGGGAAGCGGTGTCATGGACATGCTGTCCTGAAGGGTCACCTTAGCAGGGATCTCAGGAGTCATACAAAGTCAGGGCCATGGGGCACAATGAGTGGGCAGAACTGGGCCCAAGGTGGCACGCTTCTTCTCCATCGTCGTGTTACGCTAGCCTGCAAATAGCCACGAACGGGATGTGAGTCTAGCCTGCAAATAGCCACGAACGGGATGTGAGTGTGTCGACACTGTTCTGGGGGGTCTGTGTGTCCCTGGATTAGTGATGCGCCCGGATTTCAAGATGTCTGTAGGGTGGAGGCGTGACTTACTGTAGGTGGTAGTAACAGCGTGTGAGTGCCTGAGTCAGCCTGTATGTCTCATTGTACGGGGGAGTGAAGGGGTCCCCTGTCTCCTGCCCCCGGTCGTTCCCGCACACCATTCACGAGAAGGAGTGGGAGTGAGAAAGCTGAGGGGGAGGAAGAGCAGTTCCTGTTCTTAGTCTGGCCTTAGGTGGGTACTCGGCCTAGTGCCCGTTGTGGGCGGAGTCTGGCAGCCACGGGAGGAGGGGCAAGGTCTACTATAGAATTGATGATGGTGGTTGTAGGACGTGGGCTCTGGAACCCTCAGGGGCGGGGCTAGCGCAAACGGGGTAGGGCTTGGGGCTTCTAGCATCCTGAGCGAGAGCCCAGTCAGCTCTGAGAAGGAGGCTTAGCTTGCAACTCAGGAAAGGGGGAGACTCAGAGTAGAGTGCAATCTCAAACTCTGGGGTGGTGTCATTGAGAGAAGAGTTGTAGGTTGCTGTGCTCCTGTGAGCAAGGCTGGAGGCCTGGAACCCACTTAAGAAGGTGCAGGTGAGGTCCAACGTGACCTGTGATAATGACTGAGGTCTTTGGGAGGGAAAGGGGCTGAAATTATCTGAAGCAGGATCTAGAATTCTGGGGATGGAAGGGATGCTTTTAAGAGCTTGCGAAGTGGGCAGAGAAGAGGGTCTGGGGTCCCGCAAACAGTACCTCAGAATAAAGGCCTGCAGATTTCTTTCCAAAATAATCAGCGGTTAAAAAAGTATGAAGTATGGCTCTACTCTGATCCTTCTGGGATCACCAGGCGTCCAATGGGCTTGATGGCAACTGGTGAAAACCTCCTGGTGGAATGGGACATAGAGAGGGAGCCCAGAGTCTCCAGGATCGGAATCTGCTCGTCTAGGGCGGAACCTGGGCCTCCTGATGGACAGAGGTTGCACAGCCTTCTGAGAAACAAGCTTTGTGAAGTGGTGAGCCTGCAAATCCTGATGCAAAGGGCCTTGGAAGCACTAAGACCCGTTCCCAAGGTCCTGGGTCTTTTAGGGGTTGCGCACCTGTGGGGGTTTCCAGGAAGTAAATTCTGGCTGCATTCTCCCACATCTGCTGGATGAGACCTGTAAGCGGGATCCTAGCTTAGAGGACCCCACCCACCGTCTCTACATCCCGTCCAACTCTCCCATTTTTGAGGGCTTTGCTTCTGAAGAGGGGTCTCGGTCCCCCACCTCCTGACTGCCCCCTCATAACATGGGGAACTCCTGGCGAGTGTCCCCCTGCCGGGCACCTGTCCCTCTAGCCCCGCCCCTGTCGCCTCCCAATTGGGCTCGCGTGGAGCGGCTCCCGGAGGCGCCGGGCTCTGATTGGTGGGAAGTTCACAGCTTGAGCGGTGGAGAAAGTGAGTCTCCCGGGCGGGGGCGGGGGCGTGGGCCAGTCCAAAGGTGGGGGGGGGGGGGGGGGCGCGGGGGGGGGGGCGGGGGGCGGGGCGGCGCTGAGCTGGACCTGCTGGACAGACGGCGGGCCTGGAGGGGTCTAGGCGCCGGACACCATGAGGCGGCCTGGCCCCAGCGGCCTCCTCCCCCTCCTGTTGGTGTTGCTTCCGCTGCTCTTCGCAGCCACCGCCGCCTCTCCCTCCAGCCCCAGCCCCAGCCCCAGCCAGGCCGTCGAGGTCGCGGTGGCCACTGGCCGCCCGGTCGGGTAAGCTCCTCCGAGGTCCCCTCTTCCTTGTGCTCCTGACACCCGATAAGTTTATTGGTCCCTGAAAGACCAGGACTTTCCGATTTAGGGTGATTTGATGTGGGAGTGGAAGGGTCAGGACCCCTGGATGTCTTGGGACCCTGATTTTAAAGGAATTAGAGTTCCAGAGAGTAGGGGATTCTGAGACCCCGCAAGGTTCTCCATTCTATGTGGGGGTGGGGCTGTGAGTTCTCGTTGGATGACAGAGAGATGGGTCGGGTCCATCGAGCGAGTTAGGCCCCCAAGAGTCTTGATTGCTTTAAGAAGTAAGACTATGGAAGTTTATTGGGGCGAGTTTTATGGGGTTTGAGATATTATCTTGGAATTGGTGACATTTGGATTAATTTGAAAAAGACCCTGGGTTATTTTTTTCCCTAGTGATTTAGGAAAACGCAGACTCCTGGGCTGATGACAAAAGGCGTTTGTGGGGAATTGGGGGATCCTTGGTTTTCGTGTCGGTTGGAGTCCCTAGTTCCTAGAATTTGGAGACTGCAGGACTGAATGAGGTACCACTGATTGGGCAACAGGAGACTGCCGGATTTCCTATAGATCTGGGGGTTCTACCCCCTCCTGTCTGCGGATGACGAGATCGAAGGAAGCAGCGTGCCCAGACCCCCATCCCCCGCCCCGCGGCCGGCGCTCTGTTACAAAGGCCCTGGGCTCCGCTCCCGCCGGGTCTCTGCGAATGCGTTTAGTAATCCGAGCCGCGGCGGGGGCGGGGCCGGGAAGGGGTTAAACCCAGCAGAGGACGGGAGGGAAGACTTCAAGTTCGGGGGTCCCCGGAGTTTCTGCTGGGGCAGCTCCTTCCCCACCGGGCACCGTCCAGCAGGAAGGGGCCCAGGCGCCCCATATCCCCTTTGCATCGACCCCCATTACTCTCTTCTCGGATCCTGCGCGCGCCGCTTCACCTCTCGCTCCCCTCAGTCTGGGGATAATGGACTTGTCTGTCTGGGGGGCCCCTTGCTTGCGACGCACATGTGTCCAAACTAGGGGCTCCGCCACCCAGAATCTGAGACGCTCTGGGCGGGGACACTTCTCTAAGAATGACCCCTCCTGGGCAGGAGGGAAACTGAGGCCCGGAGACTACGAGGAGCTGGCCCTAGGACACATAGCATGGGAGGACAGGAACGCACTAGAACTCAAGCCTCAGTATGTCCAGTGCCCAGCTATGGTTTCTGCAACCCCTGCACCTCAACACCCTGCTGGGCCCACAGTGGAAAGAGACAGACACCCTCCCCAGGCCACTGAGGCCTGTGAAAGCACCGCCACCTGCTGGCCATGTGCGGGATGGCAGCCGGGTTCAACGAGTTACTAGGAGTGCCTGGTGGGCGGGCTTCTAGAGAGCCTGTCCTGCCTAGAAAGGCGCTTGGAAGTTCCTCTTGGAGGTCTTCATTTTAAAATGCAATTTTAAAAAGAGAGTTACCGTCAAAGCCACTCCATAAGACATCTGTTGCTTTCTAGTGACTTTCGTCTAAGTCAATTTGCCTCCCATTGTAGGGATGGAGAAACTGAGGCCTGGAGGAAAGCATCTCAAGTTAATTGCACAAGTAGTTCAAGTCTTTCAGATATCTTCGTGGGTTTTCTATCCCCAAAATGCTCCCCTTTGGGGAGTTCTGAGGTGTGATCTCCACCTCTGTGTTTATAGACGTGCCTCTTGTCGCTGCTGCCCAGGCCGCTCGCCCGGGGGGAGGAGCCACTCCAACAGAGGTGGGTTCTTTCCCGTGGAACGTACAGAGGGAGCTGGATAGAGGAGTGGCTGGGGTCTCTGGTCCCTATCTCTCATCTTAGCTGGAGAAGAGAATGAATACATTCGGGTGCTAGGGGAGGGGGGAAACTTGTCTCCCTTTCCTTAGTTCTTGGTTGTCTCCCCAGTTTCCTGCAGGGTCCGGAGATGCCCAGTTGAAAATGGCACAGACCCCCAGGGGTGCCTGACCCTGGTGGCCCCTGCACCGAGCCCCAGCCCCAGCGTGAAGAGACAGGTGTCTCTTAACTGGCAGCCACTGACGTGAGTGTGTGACCTCTTACTGACGCCCAAGCTCGTAGTGTTTGTATCAGTATGTCAGCCTGGCTTTCTCTCTGCCCTCTCTTCTCCCCTGCTCTCCCTTTCTCTGGCACTATCCAGTTTTTCTCTTTGTCTCTGGCCCTCCTTTTCTCTGCTTCTTCCAGATCCCTTATCTCTACTTTTGTCCTGTCTCCTTTTCTGTTTCTCGCTTCTTTATACATCTGCACGCAACGTCTGTCATTGTTTCCTGGACTGCTCTGGGTCTCTGTGGCTCCACATTTCTGGGTTTTGGTGTTTGTTTTGTTTTGTCTGAGGGTCTTTGTCTCTGTTTCTCTCCAAGCGTCGGGAGAAGAAACTCTCCGAGGCTGGTCTCCTTTGGGGGGTTGGGCAAAGGCAGGGCCACGACTCTCCCCCGGCGTCAGAGGCCCCTTCCAGCGAAGAGAGGGGGGTCAAGTTCGCCGCGATGACAGCTCCTTCTCCGCCCCCTCCCACTCAGGCTGCAGGAGGCTCGAGCTCTGCTGAGGCGACGGCGGCCCCGCGGCCCGGGGGGCCGGGCCCTGCTGAGAAGGAGGCCCCCATTGCTGAGCGCCCCCGCCGGCCAGGCCCGCGGTAAGAACATCCGCCCTTCCTCCGCCGTGGGGCGCGGGGTTCCGGGCCAGATAAAGCCGTCTGGTTCCCACGGTCCAGCCGCCCCCTCCCTGCCCCCACTGTAGCTCAGTCCCTTCCCTTCCCCACTTCCCCCAGGTCGAGGCCCCCTCCAGGGACCCCGGCGTCCGGCCACTCGAGGTGAGCCCAGGACAGGGCCAGACGCTGGCCAGAGGCACTGACCCGCGGGGGTGGGGTCGGGAAGCCAGGCGTCCGGGATCCCAGCGGCTGAAGTGGGGGGGCAGGGATGCTGGCCGGGCGGAGAGCGAGGCCTGAACCAGCCCAGACAACAAAAGCGATTGTGCGGGTTGGCGCCTGCCCGGGCACCAAATGCCCAAGATTTCGGGCGGCTGGGGACCAAAAACTTCCCTCCCCCTGCTTCCCAGGACCCTCCTCCTGCCCCTGGTCTGGTCCTGGGCAAGTACACCCCCTATACTCAACCACCATCAGAAGTCCCCCTCCTGCTGTGGCCTTCAGCCCAGATGTGTCCTCTCCTCCCTGAAGCCTTCCAGATGTGGCCCTGGGGCCAGATGTGAAGACCCCAGCTCACAGTCTCAATTCACTGCTTCCTTCTTCCCATCTTGACTTCACTCATCAGATGTGGGGGGTCCTGACCAGATGTGCTTGCCTCCTCAGATGTGCCCCTTCACCCAAGTCCCTGTTCAGGATCCTGACCTCCAATTCTTTATGTGCCCAGGTCTGAGGAACCTTCTGCTCCCACCCCACCCCGCCCACGTGCCACCTGGTAACCCAGATGCGAAATTAAGTCCCTCAGAGGGTCAACCTTTAACCACCTCCTCAAATAAGCCCCCCCTTATGGGTTTAGTTCTGGCTGAGGGGAAAGCCTCCAGCCCCCACCTGTTCCTTTCCCCGATGTTCCCCTGAGGACCTGGTTCACTTGTTGTTGCGAGCAGGAGGGGGCAGAGGGGCGTCCCCTCCCCCCTGGCGAGACTAGCGCCCAGCCTGCGCGCCTCTGGCTGCGCGCCCAGCCCCACGCGCCCCCGCGCGG